TATATACTAAGATCATTGCCATAATACCCAGAATCAAAGAAAAAGATTTTCAAAGAATTTATGCATTTTCACTATAAAAACATTAGAGCCCCGCCCTACATGTAACACAAGAAGCCCTGGCCCAGGGGCCCTGAAATTCACAAATCTCAAAGAGGCATCCTTTCTCTTCGTAACTATGTACATAGTTCATTGGTTTAATACCCAGGTGCAGAAAAGAAGATTTTTAAAGAGTTTATGCATTTTCACTATATAAACAATAGAGCCCCACCCTAACACCAGATCCCCTGGCCCTGGGGCCATAAAATTCACAATTGTTGAAGAGTCACTCTTACTCATCATAACTATGTACTTAGTTACTTTATTTGATACCCAGGAGCAGAGAACAAGATTTTCAAAGAAATAATGCATTTTTACTATATAATCAATAGAACCCCGCCCTAACACCGGAATCCCTGACCCTGGGGCCATTAGATTCACAATTTTAGAAGAGCCAGCCTTATTCAATATAACTATGCACTTGGTTAGTTTATTTAATGCCCAGGAGCAGAAAAGAAGAATATCAAAGAAATAATGCATTTTCACCATATAATCTACATAGCCCCGCCCTGCCACCAGAACCCCCTGTCCCTGGGGCCATTAGATTCATAATTTTAGAAGAGGCAGCCTTATTCAACATAACTATGCACTTGGTTAGTTAATTTAATGCCCGCAAACAGAAAAGAAGAATATCAAAGAATTATTGCAATTTCACTATAATAATCTATATGGACCCGCCCTAGCACTAGAACCCCTGACCCTGGGGTCATTAATTCAAAATTGTGGAAGAAGCAGTCATTTTCCACTGAACTATGCACTTGGTTAGTTTATTTAATGCCCAGGAGCAGAAAAAAAGAATTTTAAAGAAATAATGCATTTTCACTATATAACCTATTTAGCCCCGCTCTAACACTAGAACCCCTGATCCTTAATGCCCAGGAGCAGAAAAGAAGAATATCAAAGAAATAATGCATTTTCACCGTATAATCTACATAGCCCCGCCCTGCCATTTCACAATTTTGGTAGAAGACTTAATGTTGATTACAATCATACCAACAGTTTGACTGCTTGATGTCAAGGAGTAAAGAAGAAGATTTTTAAAGATTGCACTAATTTTAGTGGTTTTTGCCCCACCCCTAGGCCCCCCCCCCGGGGGGGGGGGCAGGGACCATGAAATTCACAATTTTTGTTCCCCTTCACCTATAGATGATATATGCCAAATTTGGTTGAAACTGGATCAGTGGTTTCAGAGAAGAAGCTGAAAATGTTCAAATGTTAACGCACGACGAACGACGGACGACGACGGGCGAAAACAGATAGCAATAGGTCATCTGAGTTTACTCAGGTGACCTAAAAATATTTCTTCATTAATGCATATCATTTTTAAATTTTGTGTATAAGCAAATAAAAAAGCAATAAAATCTGAAACCTGAACTTTAAAACATTTTTTTTCTAGTTTTCCTAGTTTCCATTACAAAGGTTATTTCTAAGTTTCAGAAATCAATCAGGAATCTTTATCTTTTGTTCCATAGAATATGTGAATACCATTTCGGTACCCGTGTTAAAACATTTTCATTGTTTGTGGAAAAAGAAGAAAAGGGTTTCATTGTCGTAACACACAATCCCATTTGGGACCTATCAAAACATTTTGTGAATTCTGTATAACGAATTGTTGTATTTATATCTTCATGATTTTCGCGTGGACAGAATTGAAGCCATCGAAGAACTTACAACAACGACCGCAGTAACCCTTTTGTTCCACTGGAAGTGACCTATATAAAACTCATCATCGGGGATTATTCAATTCTTAAGAAGAGATTTTTACACGTTCAATAAATCATTTTCGCTGTAGTATTTGTAATGAATACCAGTATTCAATGACCATAGAACCTTTACTTCTGAATTGCAACTCATAAAATCCTTTCACATGCAAATTACAAGTTTCCCTGCTCTATTTCACTCGATTATTCGGAATTTATTTTTTAAATCGAGTATCTTCTTATCATGTATTTATTTGAACAGTAAAACTATCATTTCTCCAAGAAATTCTATCCTATCACCTTTGTTCCTAAGATGGTCAAAATCACTTGTTATTGTTTTCAAGTTACTAACATCAGACTTTAAGTTTGTTTTCAGTTTCTTCATCAGTTTGATTTTTAAAATTATTAACCATATTGTTTTGTAATTTGTACTATGCAGTAGCTGATTAAAATGGCATGGAGTAAATGGAACCTTAAAAATGAACATTTATTTACAGGATGCCTGTAATTTTGATTTTGTAATCTTTTAATAAAAATGGAAAAATGAATACATTGTATTATTGTTGCGGTGTTTTTCCTTTGAAGACCACCGTGATTGTGTTTTTGATACACCATGGCTAACTGTGATCTAACAACCATGATCGATCAAGATCGAGCACGACAGGAGGTTGATGAAACAATTCTAATTAATGATCCACGACCTTACACCGAATAATTAGGTAAAAATAAATAAAGTAGCAAACTTTATAACCAGAATGCAAAGTCATGTAGACATAGTAAAGGTATACTTCCATAACATAAAAAGTCAATTTTGCTCGTCGATTTTTAAATCCAATATGGAATTAACACAGCGCATTTTTCAATGTTTTTCACTCTCATAAACTTGAAGCGTAATCAAAGTACTCAGAAGTACTGAAAGCCGGGCTCATAATATGAACAAAGACCGTGGTGACAGTTTAAAATCAATTTCAGACGTATAGAGGATATGTTACATACAAAAATATCTCAATGGCATGTATATTAAAATATTTTAAAAATTAAATAAAATATAGCTAGAAATTAACAGCATAAAATATTTATCACATGTATCATTTCGGGGTTTTATATACAAACAGAAGTAACTAATTACAGATGCAGCAAGATTAAGTAAGGTCAAACGACTCTGCACTGATGTGTCCTCAGCGGGAAGTTTTACATCAAGTCATTAATGGTGTTCCCTGCATTTGTGTTAGCCTGATAGTACAACCTTTATTTATAGAATATGACGCAGACAGGGATACCTTGTGAAAACCTTTCGCTCCTTTTAAATTGCTTTGTAAAATATTAGTCAAAGGAGCCAGGAAAAATATAAAAAAAATTAATATTTTGATAAAAATATTCGATTTACTATTTCTTAAGGTGTTTGCATGGATTTTGTTTTATCAACAGCGGCTGGGCGTACGCACTATATTTTTACTCGTAAACTCAATTTGGAGGTGAAGAAGCAGCATTTCCCATTGCTCACCGTCGCAATAGCCGGGCATTGCTCTACGAGCAATGAGCCCGGCTAAAAAGGCACAAACACACTTTACTGCAGGAAATGAGGAGGATATTCCGAGTTCCTTGTTGTATCAATTCCCACACAAATCGACGCATTCAGTAATTTGGAGAATCGCTGTACATCTCGGTCAAAAGTGTGCATCTTCCCATGCGGTATTCCTTGAACGTTTAAATTTGGTATTTTTACAAGTGTTTAGATTAACTGACATAAAGAATTTTCTATCATAATCTTAGTTTGCACCGAAAATTTTTAATAGCATAAAATCACTACCTCATTAATACTTTCAGACTTGAATGGGCGAAGTCTAAGAAAAACAGCGCGCAATATTTTTTGGAATCACGTGCTTCTTTTTCATTGGTCAGATAAAATTGTATGATGAAATTTTGATACATCATGGCTAACTCAGTGCGTGATAATACATTTGAACTACGTGCTATTAACGTAAAAGTGATAGATCATGGGTAACTCATTTCCTGGGAACAATGATACAAAACATAGAATACCTTTTAACTCGTGCATCTTCAGATATCAGACTCGGGGGGCAAGCCCCCTCGTCTGATATCTGAAGATACACTCGTTAAAAGGCACTCAATATACTACTTTGATTAATTTCATTATTTTCTTGAAATATTAGGTTCTTTTACTTGCTTGTATGAAAAAGTGTACAATGAATAAATACTCGGATTGAACATACAATTTACGATTGGGATCAATCAAAAGTACATAAAACTTTCACAACTTTTTTTTCATGCGAATTACTTCAAGCATTAAATGATTAAATACTGTACATTCCTAATTATACGCGAGGAATTAATTTCCGCGTAATTTCGCGAGAAGCTTCGCTCGCGAAAAAATATTGCTCGCTTTTATTTTTATGGTGCTGAAATCTATGTAAAATCTGTTGATCAACCATCTATTCGCTAATTATAATTCTCGCGATTTGACGCTTAAGAGCCAGTTTGCGATAAAATGTACTCGCGAAAAATTAGGAATCTACAGTACTAAAAAAATACCAGAGGATCAAATATTCTCAAGTATACATTCTTAATACTAGTATGACACAAATTGACTAGAATTCCTAAAAAGAAAAAACACATTTGAAACACAAATTGAATAGAATTCCTAAAAAGAAACAGCTCAAATAAGATTAAATTTCAAACGTTAAACAATCTAGTAATGATTTTGATTAAAGCCATATATGGTGTATTTTTGATAAGTTCAGATTATTACTAAAATTAAATCGATTTCCAATTGTTTAAACTTTAAATGTAATATTTTCATCAAAAATACACACTTTTCAGAAATTAGAATTGAAAACAGAACAGATATAGGTGTTGGATAAACGGTATATTTAGACATAATTCTAATTTATTACTATAAGCATATAAGAGTGGGATGTATCCTAATTTATAACATTGAATTTTGGTAAGAGTTATCTCCCTCTATTTTTGATAAATAAAAAAATCAATTTTAAAAAAATTATCTGGTAAAATTTTCAATTGCAATTTTATTTTCAATGTTTCAATGCGTCGTAATTCAACATATTTTTTTAAAAGTAGGTCAAGCATCAAGGTCAAGGTCACGAGAATAAAAAATCATAGGGTATTCAGAAACTTGTCACATTTAATACACATTTTAATATGAACACCTACTAGTATCTCTTCTCAATCAAAAGTTATGACCAATTTTACGTAATATGTAATCTTTTTTAAAGTAGGTCAAACTTCAAGGTCAAAATCATTGTGTCATTAGAAAGGTCTTTTTTTGTCACAGGTAAAATACCTGTGTAATATGAAGCCGTATCTCTCCTCATTCAAAAGATATGTCAAATGTTAAAGTTTTGTGAAGGTGATCCGACGGACAGAACTATAGACTGGCAGACTTACAAATTGGCAGACGGAAAGACGAATGAGATTTAATGTCCCCTCGCTTGCTTGAACGCGGGGGACAATGAATACTATAACAATCATTCCTTGACCAAGTTTCGTTTATTTCCACGTTGTCGTTTTGCATTTTTTTCCAGCAAATTAGTTCTTTATTAATTTAACACTATGTCGTTTGCTGAGTCAGACAAATTAACGAGACATTACTTTTCAGAATTAAAAAAACAAACAAACTCGAACTAGAGAATACGTGCGTTTCTTGACAAATGACTGTCCAAAAATTTTTCATCTTTAAGTACAATGGAAATGATTTATAGAAAAAAAATATGCTACATAACGTACTTTTTTTCTTTCATAATTTCATAAGTTACAAAATAACAACAAATCGTTCGAACCATCGCTTGCAGAATCTGCATTCAAAAAAGATTTTCGTACGGACTAAAATAAAATCTCCAAGAATAGTCTGAGATTCATTCAAAATACACACACGTAAGCCTGTATCACGAAAATTTTGAGAAGTACTAGTAAATGTTAATACATTTTGCTGATAATAATAATTAATAATGCTGACATCTGACTTTAGAATATATACCTTCTAAACAAATAATTTTTGTACAATAAACATAAAATTCATCTCTATTTACATGTACCTCCAACTTTACATGTCTTGCTGAATATATCAAAAACCGTATTCTGGGGACATTTCACAGCGGAAGCAATTCCACCATCACATCTGTAGTAAGCGTCACAGGGTCGCTCAGGATACTGAAAATTTCCGTCTGCTGTTCCGTTACAAGAAGGAAGATAGCCCTGACCTCTGTAATCTTTGGGTATAGCAAACATGTGTTCACATTTACCATTGTAGGGGAAGGACAGAACACCCCATGTCTCATCTCGTGGGCAAGTACCTATTTCGATGGTTCTTCCGTTCTGACAAATCTTGTATATAGGCCCATAATATTCTCGTGGCCATAGTCCGTCGTCTATATCTTCACACTTAGGATAGAATCTCTCACAAGGTATGCAGTGTGATTTTTTACACTTCAGTCTGTAGTAGTTACCTGATGAAAGTGAAAAAGAAGCGTTTTCGGAGAATGAATGTACTGTATGTGAGAAAAGATTCATACATCTTTAGTTATATGTAATATTTTTTATATTCTAAATAAATTTATGGCTGCATTTTCGTATCAAATGCACTTTCATGAACAACTAAATTGGGATATTACAATTTAGTCATGTTTTCCTAAATGTTTTACTTACAAGCCCATTTTGGCTCATAACGCGTTCCACAAACTACGTCTGTGTAATTTTCACAACGAAGTGTTTCATTGGAAAACAAAAACGGATAGTGACACTCATGCAGATTTCTAGCAGTCCAGGAATTGAACATTTGGCCTATTCCGCCGCCCAATTCAGGATCAACTTCAGAACAGTTATAATACTTGTGACAATCTGTGGAGCTCTCTATGACCAAACGTGGATGTCGACGACAGATATCATCTATTGTGTTATCTGTGAAGTGGTTTTATTATTTTTAATAGAATATTAACAACTGTTTCCAAGACAAAGGCAATAATTTCTCCGAGGAAGCTACAATTAAGAAGATTAGCATTATCATTATGCTATTATTAGTTTAATATTTTTTTCTTATATATTCATTTTTTGAATATTAGTCTTAATAATCCCAAACACATCAGAATCTGAGACTAAAGGAAAAGGGATTTTCTCTTGAATGGATGATGACGTTTACATTTCAATCTCCAGGAATATACCTCCATCACATGCATACGGGGTTGATTTCTCAGTTGACTCGATACGCAAGAGCATGCTGAAATATGAACAATTTCTAAAACGATGTAAATTATTGACAAACAAGTTAATGAAACAGGAATATCATCAGTCTTGTTTAAATTCATCATTTCTTAAGTTCTTTGGTCAATACGATGATCTTGTCAGCAAATACAGTTCATCATTAGGTCAAATGCTGACTGACTTTTTCATACTGATTATTAGGCCATTATATACTAAATTGTCAAGGGGTTTTCCCGCTTTTCCCAATCATGTCAAGGAGCACACTGGTCGGCAGAGGATGCTCACTTCTCCATGCCACCTGATTCCATCTTTGATGTTTCAAAGGTCCGTGTTTAATTTCGTCTGCTCCATTTTTTATTGTTTTGTTATCTTCATATATTGCATGGATAATACACAGAGATCAAGATGTGTTTGTGAAACACTGATGCCCCCCTTGTGACAACATAGCGAACGTTAAATTTTCTCAAATGCAAATCAAACATGTTGATACCCAAAGTAAGGCCTTCTCACAAGAAATACAAATGTGAAATATAAAATCCTAGCACCACTTCTTGAAAAGTTATGGCCAAGTTTGCGTTTTATAAAGGTAGGTCAAACTCCGGGATCAAGATAAATGAGCCAAGGTTTTTGGTTTCTAAAGAAATGCCTTGTCACAAAGATCACAAAGCCCTAGCCCTAACCTTTCAAATATTGTGACCAAGATTAAAGTTTTTAAATGTAGTTTAACTCCAAGGTCAAGGTCAATGGGTCAAAGTTGTTGGTATCCAATAAAAGTCTTGTCACAAGGATTACATATGTGAAGTATAAAAGCCTTAGCTCTTACCTTCAAGAATTTATGTCCAAGTGTTTTAAAAAAAAGGTCAATCTTCAAGGTCAAGATCAAAAGGTCAAAGTTGTTGGTATGCAGAGGAAGGGTCTTGTCACAAAGAAAACATATGTGAAGTATGAAAGTCTTTGCACCAATAGTTTAAAATAATGAATATTACTAAAGTAAAGGTTTGGAATTTTGGTGTAAAAGTGTGTCAAAGGACAAGATAAATGTCAAAAGGTCAGTTTTGGTGGTACCCAAAGAAAGGTCTTATCACAAGAAATACACATGTGAAATATGGAAGTCATAGTCCCACCCAGTCAAAAGTTATGGGCAAGGTTAAGTTTTTGCGGACAAACAGACAAACTGCTAGGCAGACGGACGGACAGGGCAAAAGCTATATACGCCCTGCACTTCGTTTACGGGGGCATAAAACAATTAGGAAGTTATTTCATGAAGTTTACTGTTTGACATTTTTTATCATGCAAAATCAATCTTAGATATAATATCAGAGAGGCGGGCAATAACATTCAATGATTTGCCAAATTTGATATGAAAGAAAGGCTTGACAATTGGCATGAAATAAGTCAGCCAAAACTCGAAGATAATATCTGCTTATATGGTCATTATAATGACAAGAGAATTGAAATATGACCCCCTCTGAACGATTTTAATAGCAAATTGTATAAGGTTAGAGAAAAGAGTATAATTTGTTTTATTTCAAGATGCATTAATTAATAGCAGAGGATAAATGAGACATAACAATGTGTTTATCAAAATCTACATAAAAATCTAAAAGAAAAACTTTTTTCAATATTTCTTTTGGTAATATTAAAAGTAATTCAAATAAAGTGAAATCAGTTGAAAAGGTGTTTGAAGTACAACTAACTCATACCATTTGGAACTGTCCTTAAACTGTACATTTTCAGTAAATCGTCGTAGGCATTTTTGGATTCGTGTAAAAGTTGGGTAGTTTCTTGCAAGCGTTTCTCACCTTCTTTCAAAGCTACCTGGAGAGCATCTATTTTGTTGTCCATATTAAAGTCTTCATACATTTCTTTGTCACTATTATAAAGTGTCTGACAAAAAACACACTTCCACATCAAGAGACAAAAAGTCAGTTTTGAACACAAATGAAACAAATCCATTTCGTAAAAAGATACGACGTTTTGTCCTTATGAAATTATTCCGAATACTGAATTTAAATAGTCTTCAAGCCACATAATATTCTTTTTTAACTGCATACACAATAGATATGCGTTTCAGTCAGTAACCATTTGAATGCATTGAAATGTAATATCTATTCAAAAAAACCTAGACAAAACAATTTAACATTTAAATTCTTTTTGAAAAGTTCAGACTAACTAAAATTAAAAATATCTTTCTATTTCTTTTGTAACTTTATATAAAGATAGGAGTTTCCTGTAAATTACACGATTTAAATTGATCATAGATATCATAGATTTAATACAATAACTGTTTTTTTCCGACTCGGAATTTAATAACAGATACAGTTTAAAGTCAATTTAACTAAAGAAACGTGGGGATATTTTAGTTCAAAATCTGGGAAAAATTGAATTTGAACATATGGATAACAAATATCACGTAAATCTACACTTAATCTCGTATTTATATTTTTTTTTAGCTCAGATTCGCCATATAATGCTTTAAATGTCATGTAAGTAAGAATCAAAGTACCGCCATACAGGAAAAGTATTGGTCATTGTGGGCCCAAAAGATGCAAGAATTCATTCATCATTGCAGCCCAGAGGAGGCTGCTTTATACATATAAGTTTAAGTTTTGGTATATAAGGACAGAGGTAGAAGAAGTTATTCAGAATTAAAGGTTAGCTATACATTAAAAAGATTCTACATAAGAATATCCTTTCCCTTTATTTACGAGATACACAATATGTTTACATCCATAGAGCGCATCTTTCAAAAAAATATATGTTTTTCATATTTAGTATATATGACTATCGAAACACAACAGGTCCCTTTTTTAGAGTGTCAAATTTTACCTTTCGCATAAAAACGTTCATTACACAATTCGGGTTTTACATTCATTAACAAACATACATTTTTGAAAGTAGATTATGCATGAGTCTTGTTTTTTTATATTTTATGCAGCCAACGAATTCTTAAGGAATCGATGTAATTTAAAAGGGTATCGTTTTTGTTTGATTTTCATCCGACTAGTAGCTTTTCAATTCTTCTGCACCGTCTTTTCCAACATTCAGACGCATGTCATTATCACACATATCTAAGCGGTTTGACGATTAAGACTCATTAATTTTCCATTTTTAATGCCGCCCAATTCAGGATCAATTTCAGAACAGTTATAATATCTGCGACAATCTGTAGTGATTTCTGTGACGAAACGTGGACGTCGAACACAAATATTATCTATTGTGTTAACTGTGGAGTAGTGTTATTATTTTAAAAACTAAGAATATAACAAATTGTTACCAAAAACAAATGCAAATACATGTAATTGAACAAATTCTTCAAGGATCCTAGAACTAGATTATCATAACCATTTTTATAGAATAAGTATTAAATGATTGTTTTTTTTTTTTTATTTTTATCTTACGTTTCTTATTTTTATAAGCATTTGTATCAAAAAATATTATAACACATCAAAATCTGAGGTTTAAAGAGGAGAATAGGGTTTTCAGGAATAACTAGGCATTTTCGAGTCATGCAAAATAAAACAAACGTAAAACTGATAAAAATGAAAATACAATAAAATAGATGTTTAAAATGCTGCATGACTCATACCGTTTGGAACTATCCGTAAACTGTTCATTTTCAGTAAATCGTCGTAGGCATTGTTGGATTTTTCTGACGTCTGAATAAATTCCTGTAAAAGGAGGGAAGATTTTTGCAAGCGTTTCTCACTTTCTTCCAAAGCTATCTGGAGAGCATCTATTTTGTTGTCCATGTTAAAGTCCTTTAAGTATTTTCATTGTCGCTAATGTAAATTGTCTGAGAAAAAACATTCCACATCGGTAGAACACAAATGAAGCATATTCATGTTTTACAAAAATATGACGTTTAGTCCTTATGCAATTATTCTGAATATTGAATTTAAAAAGTCTTTACACCACAAAACATTCCTGTTTCACTTCATACACAATAAATTTGTGTTACAGTCAATAACCATTTGAATGCATTGAAATGTAATATCTATTCAAAAAGCCTAGACAAAACAATTTAACATTTAAGCGTCATGCAAGATATAATCAAAGTACTGCCAACGTAGGTCATTGTGGTCATTGTGGGCCCGAAAGATGCAAGAATTCATTCATTATTCCCTAATCACCAGAGTCTATTTTCCCAAACCTACCGTAAACGATATGAAAACTTTTTTTTAAATAATTCTTAATATTTTTAAACATTCTGTTATTTCATACATCAAGTGATTAAAAAGATAAAAAACGTATTTTAAAAAAAATTCATTTTAGAGTGTGAGGTTTTGAAGCTAAAAAGGCAATTCAGTTTCCATTATTTGTCGTTCAGTTCAAATTCTTCATTCCACTTCTTTTACCAGTAGGTTCTGTGCTGTGATCGAACTAAATATATCCATATTGTGTATAGAACAGAATGAAATTAATTATTCCTTCCCAGCAGGTACACAACATTGGAAAAAACTGAGAATCAACGTTGATTATATATGTTGATTCAACATTTAGTTAATGTAAGATTTTGAAAATTGAGTTCAACGTTGAAATCTTAATGTTGATTCAATGTTGAAATGTTGATTAGACATTGAATAAAAGTTAATTCAACGTTGTTTTTTTTTCATTTTCCGGGAGGTGGTTTGGTCATTAATTAATTAAAATTTTTATTACAGGTTACTAAGATGCCCTCATAATTGTATAAAGGAAAACATACGGTATATGAAAAAAATCTATATATTGTAAACATTTATTTAACTTCCTATCAATAGAAGTGTTACAAGAAGTTTCACCAAAATTCATTTTTATAAATTAATCATGTAACAAAACCCGAGCATTTACAAACGTCTGCTATTTTCACATGTGGTCATGAAATAGTCCAGAACATGAAATCTTTCCAATACAAGATGTAGTCTGATACGGTATCACTTGACGCATTTCGGAAAATTATGTCTCTTCAGTGATACTCTCAGACATGCCGAAATGTTTCTTTTAAAAATTTAATTTTTGATTAATTTGAAATCTTGGTGTTACAGTCCTGACGGTGGTGTTGATCTCCTGATTGGTGTTCTGTAATGGATTATGTTGGTCTTCTGCGCTGACAGAGTGGTGCAGCAGCTTTTAGTTGATTACCCCTACAATGTACAATTTGATGTAATAAAAATTTGTATAATGAAAGATCTTCAAGCTGCGTTCAATCTCATACTTTCATTCCAAAATTATGTTTCCGTGAAAAACTGAAAATTGACGAACACTTAAATAAATAAAATCTTGTGCCTTTCCCAAACTATTAAAAATTAAAGGTATTAAAAGCGAAATATAACTTGCACACATATATGCAAAAATTAGCCATTTTCTTGCATTGCAAATAATCTTTTTCTATTAAACTTGAAAATGCATTTTTAAAAAGTGTACTAAGAATTTTTTATGCACTGTACCATTTTATTTCCATGTGTTCACATTCATCAGCCACTTCAAATTTGCTGGTGGCTGTGAGGTGCTGGAATGTCTTTCATTTATAAGGTACTTCTATATCATTGTTTTGCTGTGAGATTAAATCTATTTCTGAAAATCTGTTTAATCTCTTTATGAACCATGCCTACAGTTCAAAAACCACAAAAATGAAATGTAGTAAATTGAGAGTGGAAGAGGAAACTAATAAAAAATGCTTAAAGTTTGTGTTCCATCAAAGATTGAATTTCTCAACCCAAACTTGTACAGCAGCTTTATATACATTTCGTAAAACAATTATTTCAAAAACAAACTCAAATTCAAGACATGAAAAAGAGGGATATTACTTTAAAATCTATAATTTACTCACCAAATAAAAAACCAAGTAAAGGGATATGCTAAAACAGTCGGGAATTCCTTAATAATCCCTCCTCCAATAAACATTACAAAGACAGATCCATAAGCATCTGAAAATAAAATTCAGGGTTCCTTAAGATCTTACAGACGTGAGAATGGCATGTAAACGGGGACTCAGTGTGTAGTAAAAACTGCCCAAAAGCCCTAATTAAGTGGAGATGGTAGACTTCCCCTTTCAACACGTTCAAGTGATCCCCCATGTGCCCCTTTTTATTTACAGAATCTCTGAATCCTTGACCTATATCCTTGAATATAGTTAGCTATATATCCTAAAACTTAGCATACCTAAATTGTAATACTCTCAAACTATGAAGATCAATTAATTAGCCTATAGTCTTCAATAAGGTCTTCATACTTTCTCAAAAAAAAAAAAAAAAAAAGATTGGAATTTGTCGTCAGTTGGAATTCAAAAACGTCCATAGTCACAATCATTTTAGATAGTTAACAAATCGAGTTTTAATTTTTAAAACCTTAGCACAGTTGTATATTTAAAATCTTAAAAATATTCAGAACTTAACAGTGACTGTTATGCTGCCTTTTTGAATATTTTCAGGATGTCCTACTGCGCATGCTCTTATTTCGTACTTTGGCAAATTCATACTGAATTCATATTTAACGTTGGATTTGTATAATTCCCATATTTACCATCCTTGTTAGTTATAATGGTTACTAATGATATACGGTACATGCGACTTTGTCAAGTTCGACCTCGTTATGGTCCGACCGTGTTATAGTCCGACACTTTTATAGTCCGAATTACATGTATCTAGCACCGAAAAATAGGATTGGACCGCTCAGCGAAAATCCGACGTTGAAACAATGTTGGCAATTCAACTCAATTTGAATCCAATGTTGAATCAACGTTACATTTTCCATGTTGAAAAGCCAACGTTGAATCAATATTGTATCTATATTTATCAACGTCTAAACTCAACTTCTACTAATATTCAACGTTTAAACAATGTTGTATGTCTGCTGGGTTCTTTCATCATAATTTCATAAATTTTAAAATAGTATATTTTCATTGTAATAACATGTGTAAAACGACAACACGAGTTTAGTTATAAAGAATCTGAATATAACGCAGACACAAAATAGGAAAAAAAAAAACAAATTAAA